AAATCTTGAAATATTATACACAGGAGTCAAATAGACTTGTGAGGAGAGTCAACTCAATTGTTAAAGACTATGAATGGGACAATTTGACATACTAATAAAAAATAATAAAAAAAACAATCACAGCTGCAGAACAATGTATTTCCATCCCAAATTTTTTTCCCCCCACAAATGAAAAAACTGATATATCATGATCCAAATTACTACAAATCCACAAGACAGAAACAATTGCTATACCACTAGGATAAGAAACTGAACAAGACTAAAGTTGCTTTCGTGTCCACCAAGTGATATGATGTTTGGATTTTTTAAAAAATTCACAATGGACACGACACACAGAATTCTTGTTAACACAATATCCGCAGCAAATGACACAAAAATATTCGCTGAAAGGCAGGTATGTTCAATTCCCAAAAGATGAAACTAAAACAATCAAATTGTACAACAACAAGTGAATTCATCAAATTTAAATATTTGTTGTCATGCCACTTCAAATTCTATCATAAGTCTGATTTCCTAAAAGCAGAATGATTTTCCATCTCGTTCAACATTTTCCCTCAGGAAATTTCCAAAGTTTCAAACAAATTCAAGAACAAAGGGAATAGGCAATACACAAAAAGGGTGGACATTTTTCTTCACAGAGCAACACACTTGTCCAACATTTTCACAAAAATGAAAAATAAATTACCTTGCCACTTTTGGGCCACATGAACTGTGCTGCTCAAAAACAAAGGTTCCATTCACACAGAAAAAATGCTTGCATCACATGATTGCAAAAGCTATGTACGAAACATAATCTTTAGAGAAGTCATATCGTCAACTGTTGCAAGGGATGAAACTTTCCAGAAAATTCACATCTTAAATGGCACATTCCATTCGGCCAAATATGCAATCCCAGACCACTAATGCTTTCAAAACAAGAAGACTGCTTTAGTCACCCCCAAACTCCTGTTACTTTCTTGCACTGGTGACAAAGGACCACATTTCTCAGAGAATAATCTATGCTTTCTATGAAGGTTATTGTGTGGGAAAGTTAGACAAAGGCTCGGAGAGAGTGTTCTATTTATACCAAACTGCCGTTCACCACTACGAGACGGTGATGGTGCACACTGCTCAAACTTGAACGACCACAAGAGAATGTTTGACAAAATGTCCCCTTTGCCAACAAGCAAAGTCTAGAACTAGAGACTACAGGCATAAGCTATATCAAAATCAAAGGGAAACAAAAGAAGAGAGGAAGCAAATTTAGAATTTTCACAAAGGTAGAAGCAACCTAGTGCAGAAATCAACCAGAAGGCCAACTCATGATTTACTTTATCAACACCGTCTTGAAATAGGTCTCAGTTGACAAGACTTACTTTTTAAAAAAAATTTCAGGTGTTTTAAATTAACAATCCTTTCTTGTTCACAGTATGCTAAAATCTAACATGCTTTACTTTTTATGTTTAGGGGGGGGGGGGGAAGAAAAAAAAATATGCAAGCCTACCGGACTCAGCCCCTCCCCGGAATGAAAGACGGGCTCTGTGGTTGCTGGTCACAATACAGCATGTGAAAACACTGCGCTCACACCATTGGACTCACACCATTGTACTAACATGGACACAACAACGATGAAAATTTAAAGACAGGAAAAGTGCCACTACTTACAGGGAAAGGGGGGCTGGAGGTGGGAGAGAACACCGAAATCAACAACGCTGGAAGGTTGCTTCTCAAGATCTGCTCTTGGACATAAATCAATAGCTAGAGAACAGAACAAAAGCTAGGACTGACTCTACGTGGCTAGGACTGACTCTACGTGGCTAGGACTGACTCTACGTGGCTAGGACTGACTCTACGTGGCTAGGACTGACTCTACGTGGCTATGACCACCATTTCTTTGGGTGCAATAGTCTTACTCTCACAGAACTAACAACCACAAAGTTGGTTGGTGGGCGCTCTGGTGTGGTTAACTCCTGCTCCTTCATTCCTAGGAAACGTATGTCATCCTTATTTCTCAAAACATCTCTAAATCTTTGGCTCTTATACGACCTCTTCTATGACTCTATTTGTGTTGCAAGAGCCGTAAAACTCGTACTAAAACTAAAAAAAAAACCCCTAACAACCAAACTAAAAACAGCCAAAGAGGAACTGCCTCAGTTTAGACTCATTCACATTTCTCTTCTGTGTAAAAGCCCTGACAAAGTTATTTCACAATTTGTGACTGGGAAAGGGGAAAAAAAAATAATTCTCCTAATGATAATTTCCGCTTCTTCAATTTGTGAGAATATGTATATATTACTCAGATAGTAAAAAAGTCCTCTCTTTATAAAAGGAAAACCACAGTTATGATCAAAATATTTTTAAAATCCTTACTGAAAGCCAAGGAGTGCGCCAACCATTTTTACCACAATGTCTACTACGTCTTTGTATGTTGTAATTGTCACTTTTCCCCAACTCCTACTCAGTGGTGGCAGAAAACAACGACAAACACACCATAAAATGTTACATTAGCAGTGATAGGTAGGTAGATTGCTCACTGGAAAGTACAATGAAAAGATTTAAGCCAGAGCTGCAGCGTCTAAGGATAAAGCATAAAGAGAACAACAACTCTCACTCACATGAAACCTACAGAAGCTTACAGTACGGAAACTGTTGGGACAACATCAGTGCCATCTTGTGTGCGCGCGTGTGTGTTTGCGTGTGTGTGTTTGCGTGTGGCGTCTCCTACAGCTTGTTACATCTTTACCAGACATCAGTGCAAGAAAGCAACTAATTGTATTCACTCAATTTTACTCTTTTGACTCGAGAATTATTACAAAATAAATTACAGTTCATATACAAAAGCTCCCAGTTCTACCCTCCAGAAAATAGAAAACGTTCAGTCTTCTTTGAGCCTATTTTTTCATTAGAGAGGTATTGTTAAAAAAAAAAAAAGCTCATCTTATTCACTTGTAACAAAAAACTTCTACTTTACTCCTAGTGCAACAAACTTAGATCCCACAAAAAACAAAGCGTAATGCGTAGAACTTTTGAAATGAAGAAACAGAAAAAATGTGCAGTACGTGTGTTTCAACATTTTGTACAGCCTGGCAAAATCAAGGAGTGAGACCATGTGGATCAAAGTTACTCAAACACATAGCAAGAACTGGGTCATAGCATCAAATAAATAGCGTGTCATATAAACAGATTCATCAGGGATTCAAGCAAAGAACCTTGAAGCCAGTTGCTTACAGATTTCAGAGACTCAGACAATTAGTAGTGGTAGTTGGCACTGAGGAGAATTATTAGGGGAATGTTTAGGAACTAGTTTACTGCGTCCAGAATCACCCCATCCCTCTCATCCCACTTCAAATGAAGGCAATGATGACAATGGTGAAGATGGCGGAAAGAATGCAGATGAAAGAATTGGTGAATGATCCCCC